TGGAGACTGTTTCAGTCTGTGACTCCCTCTCTCTCTGACCCTCCCCTGCTCACGCTGTCTCTCTCTCTCCTAGAAATAAATAAAACATTAAAAAAAAAAAAAAACAGATGTTCTATGGAAACCTTCTATAGTACAGGAAGTTTTTACACTGATAAATTAATGCCAACAGAGTTTGTGTTGGTATATTTCTCCTTTCCTCTTCTACTTCTTCTTCTTCTTCTTTTTAAATCTGAAACTGTAGACACTGACACAAAATCATTTAACTGAAGAGATTCTGAAGAGTATAAAGAATTACCTATGGAACCCAGGCAGGATTGATTAGTGCTAATTGCACTTAAAGTCAAAGTCCTAATGTAATTTTTAAAGTAGAAGTATCATAGACTTTTAGAACTAGAAATGGTTTTTCAAATTATCGGATTGAATTTCTAGATGAGGAACTGAGACCCAGAAACATAAATTGAGTAAATCTCAAATCATTTGATTATATAGCAATTCAGCAAAAAGTAGGATTCTGTTTTCCAGAGATCTAATATACTATAACTGAAATAAATGCGAAAAGCAAATAAGGTTATTCAACAAAATAAGGATTGCTTCCTTGGTTAAGTGTAACTCATCAAAGATACATAATACCTATCTGTAATTACTACCCATGGTACTGTTAATGACTTACCTATATAACTGGTTCAGGACATTGTTAATAAGTGGTAAGCTCGGGCATATCTCAACAAGGAAAAAAAATACCTGTTCAAGAGGTATATTCTTTTTTATATTTTATTTTTAGTGTTTTTATTATTTATTTTTGAGAGTGAGAGAGAGAGAGAGACAGAGAGACAGAAAGACTCAGAATATGAAGCAGGCTTCAGGCTCTGAGCTGTCAGCACAGAGCCTAATGCCAGGTTTTACCTCATGAACCGCAAGATCATCATCTGAGCTAAAGTCTGATGCTTAACTGACGCAGTGAGCCACTCAGGAGCCCTTCAAGAGGTATATCCTTAATTGTGATGGAATTAAATGCTAAACATATAGCATATATGATTAAGGTTAAATAACCTCCTAATTTTCCAGCATTCTCATTTTCTTTTCTTTTTATCTTCTTTTTTCTTTCAGCTTCCCCATTGAGAAAGAACATCACACTGGGGAAGAGGTGGAACTATTCAGAGCACTTGAGATAGAAGGAGAGAGTGGGAGAAGGTGTGTGCCTTGATTCTAGTTTGTTCTTTCTGCTCCTATGATTTGGCTGCAGAGAACAGGTGTGGTCTTGTCATATGTGTTGGCAAAGGCAGAGTCTGAGGAAGGTGCCTTCCATTCTCCCTCAGGAACCAGGCATTTCAGAGGGGTCTTTCTATTGAGCAAGCTTGCCTGTGAGGTCAACACTGTGAAGAAAAAGTGGACTTAAAGTGAACATTGTGGGACATACTGGAAGTCAAGAAGAAGTCCCAGCCACACCTGAGAGCATCTGAAGCACTATTAAAAACTGAAGTGAGTAAGAATATCACTATCAGTGGAGGCATAGACTGGCTCTTTCAAAACCATTGCAGAGAGCCTGTGCTGGGAGAACAGAATATGAGTTACAGGAGCCCTTGGCTTCTCATCAGTGGTAACAATAGGGGCTGAGGTCAATGCCACCCCAAAGTCACTAGTGTTAGCAATCTTCCCAATAAATTTACATACTTTCTTCGACAGAAGAAGGGGAAGAAAAACTCTGGATGATGAGAGAAATAACTCAGGTTGAGAATTTGAATTTTGAAATAGTTCTACATTTACCCCCAATGAGATCATGTTAATGAGAAAGAGGCTGTTATATACTGGGAGGGTCTGTTGCCTTCAATTGAGCAGGTTACCTAACTTCTCAGTGGCTCAGTTTCTTCTGAGTAAAATAAGGAGGATCTTTATACACATTTTCCAGGGAGTTTGATGGTAAGATTGGTTTTAGTTGTGGAAAATAAACCTAATTTTTTAAAAAATTTCCCCCATGTGGGAATCAAAGTGAGTAAACTCTTAACTTTTTCCTATGAGCATGATGAGGGAATATAATGAAAATGATGGAGCTTGATGGCAAGTGTGAATATTATGAGTTTTGCTGGTGTTCTTGTCTCGCCAACAGGCTGTGGAATAGTAAGGCCTGATGGAGAGAATCGACAGGAAGAGGTATGTGAGGGCTAATAAGATTGAGAAGGCCAAATTAGGAAGAAGGAAAGAAAACAGGGGAAAAACCGATGGTCAAGGGATAGCCCAAGTGTGAACACAAGTATGTTTAGACTGAGCACAATATGGGTTTGCATTCTACTTATAAATACAATATTAAGTTTTAGAAAAAGAATAACCTCCTACCGAAACACTTCAAAATTACAGGACATCAACAAGACCATCCCAATATGAGTCATTCTGGGCCCCTCTTCCACTAGAATTTTTACATAGTTAATAAACACTGTTTGTATGATTTACTATCCTTTTGTGATAACATTGCAGAAGAAGCATTTATGGCATCTCATAAAACTTTTTATAAACTACTTTTAATAACTATATAAAATCCTGTATAATGTTTGACAAGATAGTTTTTCTATAGTTGACTTTTATTTCTTTGAAAAACCTTCATTATTTGAAGACTGGCAGTCTTTTGATGTGTCAACTTGGCTTGGCAACCATCTCCAGTTACTCATTGCACACTAACCTAGAGGTGCTGTGAAGGTATTTTGTGGATGTGATTAAAGTCCATAATCAGTTGACAGTCAGGGAGAATATCCTGTATATAATCAGGGTGGGCCTGACATAATCAATTGATAGGTCTGAAAACAGAGCTGAAGCTTCCCCTCTGGGGCAGCCACATTGCCTGTGCTCAGGGTTCCCGACAATCTGCCCTACAGATCTCAGACTTGCCTGGCCAGCCTCTGCAATTATAGAGATCAGTTTCTTGCAATATCTCTTAATAGCTACATCCTTCTTCTACTTTAATGGCTGAAGCTTGACTGATACAGAGGGGAAGTTCTATGTTTTAGAAACAATATTGCCACAGATTGTACTTTAAAGTGGAAAATAAATGCTACCAAGAGAAGCTCATCAGCCTACAGAATGAATGGAGTGCATAGAAAAACAGCAACAAAAGCCTGGAAATTTGAAATCTGTCAGAAATAACTATAAGTACTAGATCTGAAATGTCAAAGGAACAGAAGTGCCAAGGTGATTGCTAACCACACTAACCTAGCCTTGTTTTGTGGGTGATGAGGGGAGAGTGAGAAACAGGGGGACAAGGAAACAAGTTATAACTGATGGATATAAACAAATTCTTCAAATTCAGAGTGTCAGAGTACCAAGAGCAGTGATTTGCCTCCGGCATTCTAAAGCCTGGATAGCAGTGTAGCCATGCTGATGTGCAAATTCAGCTGGAAAGCTTCCACACCCATCTGCAACTAGACCACGAAGATTCCCTTTCTCCTCTCATGCAAGGTTCCTATTTCTGATGAAAAACAGAACATTTTGCCCCTGAAAATGCAAATAAACTTACCCCCATGGAGGCACCTGCTCACAAGTGATAAATGGAGGCCTTGAAGTGTTTCCTCTAGTGAATTACATATTAGAATTACACTTTCTATTTCAGGGAACTTCGCATTCTCACCTATTACCTTGTTCAACATTTGCTGCTTCTGGCTGCAGAAACTGATTAGGAAGCAAGGCCAATTGGAGATTTGCAATGATACTGTATTGACTTTTTTTCTTTTTCTTTTCTCTCCCCCCCCACCCTTCTTAATAAGGGAGACATAGCCAGCAGACAAATGTGTAGACAGTAGCACTGTCTATTTGACTGTAGTTAGGGTCAGCTCTTGTTTTCTCTATTTCATAGTAGCAACCCATGAATACTTCACACTTCTCAGTTACCCTCAGCTAAAACACATTGGGTGTTACTCATTTTAAAAGCACGAGGAAAAAGAAGCAACACTAGGCTGTAGGGATCTTGTTCTTTGTTTGCTATCCCTTATAGGCCACCAGAAAGAATTTTCCAGGACAGGTATCATTATAGACAAGGACAGTGAGTCTGTAAAAATTAAATGTAATATCCAAGGCAGAAACAGGATTTTATCTGAAGCCTGCTCTCTTCTTGTTCTACTGTGCTGCCACTGTAAGTAATATGTGTATCCTCTAAAAGTCACATTGAAATGAATTCCCATTTTAATAAATATACTTGTGGACTATCTACTGAAAATAATTATCTACATAATATCATATGTATTGGCTTTACCCATCCCGCTTTCCATTTTGTTTTCTTTTTAAATTTGAGGAAGATATAAAAGAATCTTTCCCTCCTCTCTATTAGTTGCACCTCCTAGGGTTTGATAAATACAGGTAAAGAGATCGTTCACTGATGCTAGGTGAACGTGGTGCCCACAGCTTGCATGTGCTTGTGTACCATCTACAGAGGAGTAATTTCCTACCAGTAAGGATAGTTTGGTTAGATCGATGACACAGTCATAACTTACTTATACCAAATCATTCTCTATGTAAATAACTCTTCTCTGTCTGCTCCTCCTCCCACAATCCCAAGAAAAAATTCAAAAATATCTAAAAAGAACAACAAATGATGAGTATAAAAGACAATTTTAGAAATGACTACATGAATAGTCTTCTAATCTCATTATTTGATTAATAGTCTGCAGAATATGAGAAATCCCATCTACTTATACTCAGCAGGTCTGCATAAAGATCAAAAGAGTACATATCAGGAAACCTCTTTATTTAAAAAAAAAAAAGTGTTAGCTCAATAGAGATAAGATGTGAACAGATAATCATAATGAAATGTTGACATGTAAACATATTTTGCATATAATTAATGCAAGTCTAAATATCTGGCTTATCTACATGCATGTTAAACTCAGTATGTACTTGGCTTTTACTTATAGATATTATATACACATCATATACACATCATTTAGTGTAAGAAACAATTGAAAGAACTATTTTGCATTTTGATGTTTTTGAAATCTAGTTTCTATTTCAAACATTTAATTTCTGTTATGTGATGAACAAAAGCTCCTCTACAGAAAATATACTTTTGTTTTCTTTGTTCAAAAGTGTGTTTCACTTAGCCATAGAGTTCTGAGCTCTCAATTGCCTTTGTTTTTTGTTTTGACTTTTGTTCTGACTGTGAGCAGATGAAAAGAGAACAGGAGGGGTGTAAAGCCCTCTTTGATACCTGAAGGATTCCTAAGGGTTCTTTTATTTGTTGATAGCTGGGATTTTCTCATTTACATCATTTCAGAGAACAAACCATGTAGCTGCCATATCATATCTGTGTCTGGATAACCTTTTGCGCTAGACTGCTGTGTATGGATTAACTCATGATGGTTATTGACTCAGACTTCTTACAGCATTCCTCTGAGCAGAAGGCAAAAATCAGACACTTCCATTTCTTCTACAAACAGCAAGTATCCAGGCCAATTTCTAGAGTCACTAGGTTTTGATTATATTAAGAAATCTGTACATTTTCTTTCCTGAAGTAAAATTCTGAATTACTAATAGTTCAGAAGAAGTTAGGTTGAAGGTACACTGTAACTCAAGATAGCTTTCTAGCTAAGCAGGACAGTACAATTATTAGGAGAAGGTTTAAAGCCCTTTCAAAGGTTTAAGTCTTCTGATTCAGTGGAAAACCTACAATTTGCATATAAACAATTGGTACAATTATAATTTTTTCCTTTCAAGAAAGCAAATTAATGACTCCTAAGTGGTGTTTTAGTCTAATTTTAACATTGGTTTGTGTTTGATTGTGGCAAAGCATAACTTGAATATTTTTAATTCTGATCTTTTTCATTTAGTGTATTGTCCCCTACCCCCACCCTGCCCTGCTCCATCCGAGTCTCTAAACAAAAAAAGAGGAAAACCATGTCACAGAAATGTAGTGAATTTGCAGCGCCAATCTCAAATCTCACACCTTGGAAGGCCCCAATCTGCTGTTCATTTCACAGTGCTATGCGAAAAACTTCTTGAATGAAATATAGAAACTGAATTTTAAGACATATTACAGTCAGAGCAGTAGAACACCTCTCTCCTAACAAATGGATGGTACTGAGTTTCATAAAGCAGGATTTATTTAAGAAAATACTACTGGATGCTAAGCATGACCCTGTTTCACATATAAAGATGGCATAGGGTACTGACCTTGATTATTATTATCCCTTGACAGTTTTAAGCCTCCAAAGATCTTAATCAAACATGTGACATTTTAGGCAAGTTGTGTAGGAGTTAGAGTGCTGTCTCTGCTGTCAGAATATAAAGGTTTGAATCTCAAATCTATTACTTTCTATTTGACCTTGGGAAGGTTACAAACCTTTCCTAAGCCTCAGTTATTGTGCCTGCAAAATGATACTATGAATCTCACTGAAGGAACTATTCTGAAGATAAAAAGAGAAAATGAATTTAAATCTTTAGCATAACCCCTGGCTCACTGTAATTATTTAAAAAGGGTTAGCATGCATTCATCCTACTAACCAAGTGAT